CCCAACCTAAAGCTGATTTTTAAAAAGAGAGCTGGGGGCTGGAGAGATGGCTCAGCAACTGTTAAGGGCACTGGCTGCTCTTGCAGAGGACTCAGGTTTGGTTCCTAGCACCCATAGGTGGCTAACAACCATTCAAAACTCCAGTTCCAGGTGATCTAACCTCCACAGGCACTGCATGACACATGGGCACTTAACATGCATGCAGGTAATACACTCATACACATAAAATAAAATAATAATAAAATTTATTTTTAAAGCAAGCTGGGCAAGGTGGCACATGCCTTTAATCCCAGCACTTGAGAGGCAGAGGCAAGCCAATCTGTGAGATCAAGGCCAACGTGGTTTATATAGCAAGTTCTAGGCAAGCTAGGGCTACAGGGAGACCCTGTTTCAAGAAACAAAACAAAACAGCAAGGCATAAAAGAGTCCTACTTTGTGATTCTATTTTAAATAAATATTAAATAAATATAAAAACTAAGGCTGGTGTGATGGCTCAGCAGGTTAAAAGGCTTCCTGCGCAAGCCTGACAACCTGAGTTTTATCACTGGAACCCACATAAAGGTGAAAGAAGAGAACCGACTCCATAAAGTTGTTTTCTGGCCGCACATATGGGTCATAGCAAGAGCTCCCACTCTCCTATATCATGCTTACACTAATAATAATAATAATAATAATAATAATAATAATAATAATAAATAAAAGTAATTATTGATCTATTTATTTTTATATGTACAAGTGTTTTGCCCACATGTATGTAAGTGCACCTGTGCATGCAATGCCCATGGAGGCCAGAAGAGAGCAATAGATTCCCCTGTAACTGGAGTTAAAGACAGTTGTTAGTTGCCATGTGCATGCTGGGAACCAAACCCAGCTCTTCTACAAGAGGACCACTGAGCCATCCCTCCATCCGCCCCCCCCAAAAAAATTTAAAGTAGGCAGGGCTGGCAAAACACCTCAGCAAGTAAAGGTACCTGCTACCAAGCCTGATGACCTGAGTTTGATCTCCAGGACCTATATGGTGGAAAGAGAGAACTGACTCAGGTAGGTTGTCCTCTGACTTTCACACACATATGCCATACCACATGTGTACCCATACACATGCACCCACACACATGCACACATATACACACAGAACAAAATAAATAAAAATGTTTTAAACACACACACACACATTTTAAGTGGGCAAAACTAGCCAAGGGAATTTGGTGTGGTTAATCCTGGGGGAGGGGGAAATGAAGGAAAACGAGCATAAACAGATTTCTGGAATTTGACAGTTTGGTTTCTATGTTCTAGTTATAAAGATGTGTTCAGGGAAAGCTCTGATACTAAACATTTAGGATGGGCATATCCTTCTGTGTGTGGGTTTGATAGAAGGAAAAAAGAGCTTAGGGCAGTCAAAAATAAAGCACAAGTGTCTAACTACACAGTAATACTACAGCCTCTTAACAAAGGCAAGTGCTTTCTCAGGAACTCCCTTACCTATTAGAGTGTCTGCTTGGCATGAGGGGAGATAGCAATGGGATAGTGGTACCAGGGGGAAGAAATAAAGTAATTGTGATGGTTAATATTGATTGGCATAGTGAGTTCCAGGCTAGCTAAGGCTACAAGGAGACCCTAACTAGAATCTAGAATCACCTAGGAGACATACTTCTAGGCATGACTGAAGGAGTTTCTAGATTAAGTTAATTGAGATGGGAAAACCCACCCTAGATGTGGAAAGCATCATTCTGTGGGCTGGGGTCCTGGACTACATAAAAAGGAGAAAGTGAGCTCAGCACCAGCATCCATCTCTCTCTGCTTCCCGACTGTGGGCACAGTGTGACCAGCTGCCTCACACCCCTGCTGCTAAGCCTTCCCTGACACTGTACTAACTGTGAGCTAAAACAAACCCTTCCTTAAGTTGCTTTTGTCAGTTGTTTTGTCTCAGCAATGAAAAATAACTAATATAGCTAGATGTGGTAATGTATGCCTTTAGTCCCATAGACAGAGGCAGGTGGATCTCTGTGGGATCAAGGCCAGCCTGGTCTACATAGTGACTTCCAGACCAGCTAGGGCTATAAGGAGACCCTGTCTCAAAAAAAAAATATTAAAACAGTAATACAAGAGAGGGGTATTGCAAGCCTGCAAGACAGTATGCTTAATCCAACTTTGAACCTGAACAGGGGGAAGGGTGAGATAAGGGGGAAAACCCTCTGCTAGTTCTGACTGCTCACTTCATACACCCCATTAATTAAATAAGGTCTGGCAAAGAGAAGGGAATACCCCAAATCCTGTATGGCTTCATAGTGGTTCTGGTACCTGCTGATCCAGATGCCTGCTACCCTTTCCTGCACTCTGCAGCCTGTCTCAGAGCCCCAGATGTGTTTTTACGACCACACCTCCACAGGATATGGGCTCTCAGTCCTCCTTCCCATAGTTTCTCCCATAAAGCATGTTTAAATTCAGGATGCATACTGATTCATGATGCAGCCCACTTCTGGCAACATCCCATAGCACAGTGCTAAGGAGGAAGGGGTTAAACTGCATGAGATTAGATGTAAGGAAGGAGTCTCCACTTACCCCCCAGAACCTTCAGTTCCAGCCTCTAGGGCCCAGTGTCCATTTGCAAGTTTGAAGCTTCATTTTGGATCCAGAGACTGGTGGCTGAAGATGTCGGGTCGGGTGAAACCTTTTTGTCACTGCATTTGCCTCCTGCTTGATGATTGTGAGCTCCTGCTCAGGGAAGGCAGATACCACGATAGACTCTGCAACACGGACATTGAACTGCACTTCTCACTATGGCCACTAGTGGGAGCTGCTGACCAACCTGAGGCCTGGCAGGCGCGACAGGCAGCAGATAGGTTCGCCTGTCAAACCCCAAGACACCCTGTCCCACTCAGAGCCAAAGCGTCTTGTGTTCTGAACTTCTCTGTAGACAGAATTTCTTGCTGATCCTCTCCACAACCACCAGTGGACCCTCTTTAAACATGTAAGGCGCCAGAAAAGTCTGGAGCCCCACACCCAGGCTCCAAATGGATGGTGACACTCCCCCACAGCTACCTCTTCAAGATTCTAATAAGGAAGTGTCAGGTCCCAGCCTCTGGTTCCCAAACACAGCGCCTCAGTACACTTTGAAAACTCCCAGCACCGATTTTGCCTTCCAAGGGTGGTTCTTGCTTCTTAGGAGCTTTAACAGCATTGCAAGAAAGTAAACTGCTGGGGTGTGTGTGTGTGTGTGTGTGTGTGTGTGTGTGTGTGTGTATAGCTGTGTGCTCCTATGCTGGGCTCTACTACACAGGGAGAAAGGCAACAGTCTCTGGTGTCTCTTTCAACAGTCTATGGTGGTGGCCTGTCTTAGGTAGTGTTGGTGCTCCACCAGCTTTGGGTCTTTCCCTGTGAGTACACCTGGGTGTGTGTGTGAGTGCTTCTTGGTGTATGAATCTGTACCTACATGTGCACAGCTGTTTCTCAGAATGTATGCATGCCTGTGACAATGTCCTTGTGTGAGAGTCAGGGCACATGTAACTCTGCCTCAGTGTGTGTCAGGTAGAAGGTTCATATGTCTTGAGGGGTGAGTAGAGGTGGGGGAGGGGGTCCATGTCCATCAGGTGTCCCTGTGCTTAGTGATTGTATACATGCTATTGGGACCAGGTGTATATTTGTTTCTGTTGGTGCAGCACGTCCACATAGACATGTACAACCCGCAGGTTTGTGTACTATCTTTGTTTTTGCCCCTAGGAGAGAGTGGTTCTGGGTGCCCCAGTGTCAGTGTATCAGTGAATATGTATCTGAATCACATGGGTGTCACTGTCAGTATGTCTGCCTCGGTGCCAGTGCCTGTCAATGATGTCCGTGTCCATGTGTGTCTGTCACTGCCTCCTCAAGCAAGTGTGCATGTGTGTAACACAGGTGTGCCTGTGCCAGTGTGTCTTAGCATGGATAGCAGGGTATGTCTGTGTCCACATGGATGGATGAGCGTGTGTCAACGCAGGTGTCAGTGTGTCTCAGCATAAATGTCAGGGTATGTCTGTGTCCACGTGGATCTATAGGTGTCTGGCGAAGGGTCCCCAAGGCAGTGCGGAGGGTGTGTGTGTGTTCGTGTGTGTACTTCAGCGTCGGCTTGAGCGGAGTGTGTGCCAATGTTTGTCAGCGTGTGCCTGTCCAGGTCTGCGTGGGTGGCTCTCCATAGCGAAGCGTCCGCTGGTCTGTGTGAGTCCGCCTGTCTGTCTGTCCGCGTCCGCGTGGGCGGCCGTCTCCTGCAGGGCGCGCCCGGGGTCAGGGTGGTGGGCGTGCGCCCCGGCGGTGCCCGGGTGGCTCTCCCTGCCAGCCCGGCGGGCGGAGCGTTGTCAGCGTGTGCCTGTCCAGGTCTGCGTGGGTGGCTCTCCATAGCGAAGCGTCCGCTGGTCTGTGTGAGTCCGCCTGTCTGTCTGTCCGCGTCCGCGTGGGCGGCCGTCTCCTGCAGGGCGCGCCCGGGGTCAGGGTGGTGGGCGTGCGCCCCGGCGGTGCCCGGGTGGCTCTCCCTGCCAGCCCGGCGGGCGGAGCGCCACGTGCGGAGCCCCGGGCGCGTCGCTCTGGGGCGGAGCCAG